CAGGTTCCTGGTCTGCAGTTGCTCCTTCCTTGCATCATCCTCCATCAGTCCTTCCTCGTTTTTAAGTCTGTGCAGGGCCTTGTGGTGGTGCTGGCCCTGGCCTCAGCGTTGGTGGCCATGGTCCTGGCCCTGGTGACTCTGCCAGCACGGTACAGCCATTCCCCTGCTGTGGCCCCAGCACTGCCCACCCGGCCTGTAGGCTTGAGGTGCTCGGCAGCAGCTGCTCTGCCACGCTGCTGCTGCTGCAGGTTAACTCTCATTAAATCCAGGGAACCTAATTGCCATTTCATGTAAATATTTTGTCAAGTGAAACGGCTTCAGGAAGGGTGGCGTGGTCAGAGGCGAGGAGCCAGGCATGGTGACAGGCTCGGGCTCGTGCTGCCCAGCCAGGGGTGTCCTGAGGAGCTGCCCCGAGTGTCCTGCAGGAGCCAGGGTACGGATGGGACTGGCTGCTGGGGGACCCTGTGTTTGTGCTAGGTGCACTGGCTGCTGGGGGACCCTGTGCCCCTGTTTATGCTGGATGATGGGGACAGGGGACAGCTGCAAGGAGGTGCCATTATGTGGAGAGCACCAGGGCTCCTGTCCCTGCCCAAGTGGCTCGAGGGCAGAGGAGGGGTGGCACGGGAGGCTGTGGAACATCCCCACGTGCTGGCCCAGCTGCTGTCCTTTTCTGCACGGTGCTGGCAGCTCTGGTCAGAGGCTGGCAGATCCCCAGACCCCATCCTGTTTCCCCCACAGTGGGTCAGGAACATCCTAGTGGGGCGTTTTTTTCCCTCGATCCCATTACACTTCCAGGTGCTTTCCCTCCATTCCTGCTCCCCTCCTACTGCCAAGCTGCTGTCTCAGACACTGGCTGTGGTTTGGTCACAGTCCCCTCCTCACCTGGTGAGGTCCTACCTGGGTGCTCCATCTTTGGGAATTCAGAGCAGGCACTCAGAGTGGCTCCACTGACCTCTGAGAGCTGCTGGAGGAGGGGGAGGAGGAGGAAGGAGGAGGGGAAGCTGGAGTGGTTTCACAGGGTGCCAGGGAGGCTTGCCAATCCCTTCTTGCTGTCCTGGTCCATGCCCTAAGTTGAGGCCATCCCTGTGGCCAAGGTACAGGGGGCGTGGGACCTTCTTTGCCATGGGATGTTCCTTGTCACACGGCAGCTCAGATCTGTCAATGCCTTCATGTAATTGCTTGATGTCTTTGAATAACTACTAATGAGCTTCTAATTAATGAATGCCTCGGCTTGGGTGCATTTTGGAGTGGGTGGGAGGAGAGGATCAGGTTGGTACCGCTGTCCCTGGGTGCTGGTGTGCTGCCAGCCCTGCACTCACAGGATGTCCCCAGGGAGGCTGGAGCACCTGATCTCCCTGGTCCAGCCTCGAGGGCCCTCCTGGCAGAGGTTATGTCTTTGCTGATCTGCAGCCCTCCTTGGCAGCTCTCACGAGTGTCAGCATTGGGCTTTGCCCTGTGGGAGAGTGCTGCAGGGACCACAGGGTCCTTCTAAACACCAGCAGCCCCCGGGACACCCAGTGCCCCATGGCTGTGCACTGTGCCCCACGGCAGGTCCTGGGCATCGCATCGTCCTCTCTGCTGGGAGAGGAAACACAGGGCTCCCAGGAAGAGCCCTGCTGCCAGGCACTGGGATTCCCACTGATCCTGTGGGCTGGAATCTGGGCATGGAGCTGGGCCAGCTCTGGGCTGGCAGCAGCTCTGACAGGTGCTCAGGGCTTGGTGCAGCCCATGCAGGGCCCTTGGCACCTGGATGTGCCACCGTGTGCTCAGCAGGGCTGGGGGCTCCAGGCAGACCCCTGGGCCTCGTTCCTCGAGGATGAAGTTCCCTGATGGTGGGGTGTCCCTTGGAGGAGGCCTGGGCTTTGCTGCCATTTCCCAAGGAGAGGATGGCACCGCACTGGCTGCCTCGGGCATCTCCCAGCAGCTCTCCACTGTGCAGCAGGTCCATCCCGGTGCCTGGAGCAGCCAGATGTGCTGTGCTGCCCCTGGCAGTTCCCTCAGTTTCCCTCAGTGGTTTGGGGGTGCATGCCCACCAGTGCTCCCAGTGCAGGCTCTGGCCCTTGGCTCCAGCACCGGAACAGTGGCCAAGACCACTCCTGTCCCAGTGCCATGTTGTTCTCCCTCTTCCAGAAAACAAAACCAAGGAGCCCCGAAGGGTTCATTTAAAATAAATAAAAAGCTGGGAATTGTGCTGATTTGAAGGAAAGGCAGCCCCATGCTGAGCGGGGAGCACAGCGCCAGCCCAGCCCCGAAGGGCAGAGAGAGATGTGCTGAGAACTGCAGCCCTGTGCAACTTCAGCCTTGATCGTATATCTCACACGTGCCCTTTGCTTTCCCTCTGCTGATATTTATTAGGTTTAATTTTACTGGGACGTGGCTGTAAGTGAGACAGATGGAATGGGGTCTGTGCGCCTGGTGAACACATCTTAATTAAACAGATAAATAAACTTTCATTCCAGAAGGCTTCAGTTTCGGAGGTGCTCCTCCGGGGCTGCGGCTCTGCGGGGCTGGGCACTGCCCTGGTGCCACCGCCAGGCTGCTGGCTGGGACTGTGGCACAGTGTCACTGGGAGCAGCAGGGTGAGGGAACTCAGCCAGTGGTGCCAGCACGGTGTTGCCACTGCAGCTGACTGGGGGCTTGGTGCCACCCTGCCCGGCCAGTGTCCCCAGGACTCCCCTCTGCAGAGGGACATCTCTGCAGCCAGGCACGCGCTGGTGATGGCAGGAGAAGGGACAGAGGAGACTCCAGCACTGCTCAGCTCCCAGAGCTGTGCCCATTTCGCTGCTGGCTCAGGGCAGTGCCAGCACTTGTGGTGCTGCCACCGGCCAGGAATGCCTTTGAGTCACCCTGGCCGGAGCAGCGCGGGGGAGGATGGGCAGATTACCTCATCCTGGAGCCCGTTTCTGCCTCACGTGGTTGGCTTAGCTGGGCACCGCAAGGCCAGTGTGCCAGGCAGCACCCTGCCATTGTCACCTCCAGGAGCTGCAGTGGAGCCAGACCGGCCCAGGGCCTTTGGAGCTGCCTGCTGGCCTGTCGGTGTCTCTGTGGTGCTCGGGTGCTTGCGGGTTCCTGGGGGAGCCCCTCTCCCCTCCACTGCACCAAGGGCTGTGGGGGGACGCATTGTCCTTTCAGAGCTGTGCCACATCCTTCCCCGGGCGCTGGAGGGCACAGGAGGGCATGGCACCCGGGCCATGGGGGTCTCTGGGAAGGGAAGCTGGAGCCAGCAGGTGCTCAGGGGTCTGAGCACTACAGTGTGTTGAAGGGGCCGCTGCTTCTGTTGTGGTCCTTGGAGCTGGAGGGGGAACAGCTGTGGTGGGCATCCACAGGGAGCAGTGCCTGGGGATGCTGTTGGCAGCAGATGTCACTGCTGAACCTTTTTGGTGCCCAGTGCCACAAGGTGGTGGTGGTGACAAAGGTGGTTGTGGTGACAAAGGTGGTGGTGGTAACAAAGGCCTGCCATCCCCTTCCTAATCTGGGTCCCTGCAGTCCCTTTGGAGTGTAGTCCCCCGAGTCTCAGGACCTGCTGGGAGGGGCTGGCACCCCCTTGGCCCCACACTGCTTTCCCAGGATGGCTCTTACAGAGCTGTTTGCAGCAGGTTTTCCCTGTGCTCTGGGCCGGCCATGCCACACACTGCTGCTCTGGAGTGTCTGCAGCAGAAGCCGTAACTGCTGTGAGTGTACCAGGACACTGCAGCATGTCACTCTGCCTGGGGATACTGTGGAAAATCCCAGCTCCAAACGGCTGGTCGTGTGCTGGAGGCTCCGGCAGAGACAGAGCATCAGCAGCTGCTGGCACAGCCCTGCCTTTGTGCATTACATTTGGCCAAGACGGAAACTGAGCCGAGCCCAGGTTTCGTTTCCTACATGCCCCAGCACAATGCCAGCCTGGCAGCGTCGGCACTGCCATGGCTCCGGAGCCGGGCACGGTGCTGCCGAGGCGTGGGCACCAGGGAGGGACCCTCGGCAGTGTCGGGGCTGCTGCGGGGCCCGGATGGGTGGAGGTGGGACGGGACCCGAGCGAACACACGCGGCTGTCCCTCGCGGGCACTGGCACGTAGGCTATTGCCATGGCAGCTGTGACAGCGGCGAGTGTGGTGTGGATGCGTCAGGGCTGCTGGCAGCACCGCAGGGCCCTTGGAAACGCCAGAGCACCTCTGGAGCCCTGCCGGGGCTGACCTCTGTGGATCTTGGGGCAGAGGGTCCCCATCGCTTGGGGAGCGCAGGGAAGCCAGTGCCAGGGGGCAGCGCCCGTCATGTCACCCCAAGGGGCAGGGGTCCCCGCAGCCCTCCGTGCCTGGGGGACGGGCAGGCAGGTGGGGACTCACAGGGCCCTGCCGGGGGCTCCCACACCTTGGCAGGGTTGAGCAGTGGTGCCCGGGGCATGCGGGCGTCGGTGAAGTGCGGCTGGTCCGGCAGGGAACGCTGCGGGCTGCCCGCGGCTGCGGGGCCGTGCGGGGCCGGTGGCTCCGAGGAGGCGGAGCAGGGGTTGCTGCGCGGCTCCCGGGCCCGGCAGCGCCGGCGTCTCGCAGCGAGAGCGTGGCGGTGTGCACGTGTGCGGCGGAGTGAGCACGGGGGAGTCCCCGGCAGCCCCGCCGCCGCCGCTGCCGGCACAGCTTCCCGCGGCACCGCGCTGCAGCACCGCGACTCCCGGTAAGAGCCTTCCTCCCCTGGGAGCCAGCGCCGGGAGCGGAGCCGGCTCTGCCCGCCCGGCCCCGTCCTGCCCGGCTGCTTCCCCAGCGTGCGGCCGGGGTGGCGAGGGCGACGGGGAAGCCATCTGCAGAGCGGCGGCGGTGGAGGGGTTAAGTGCGGGATCAGCTGTTCTCATGTCATTACGGATTCTCTTCATTTTATACAGAGCTCTGTTTGATGTCTGAATGCACAGGGGACTCCCCCTCCTCCTCCAACTCCCACCCCTTTTATTTCGCTCCCGAGCCCTCTCTCCTTCCTCCTCCCCTTCCTTTCTCTCCCGCTCCGCTCTGGCTCACGCACACCCTTTGCAGACCGTGCGCTCAGTGCCAGTGTCTAATGGCCCCGAAGTGAAGAGCCAAGCGCTGCTCCGGCGGCGGCGCGGCCGGCCTGCCGCAGATGAACCCTCCTAACTAGCGCCGAGGGGTCGGGAGGGACGGCGAGGAGGGGAGAGCCCGAGGGGCCAGCCGGGAAGACGAGGATAGCGGTGGATAGCAGTGTGCGGAAGAGGACGGACCCGCGAGCAGCTCCACGGCTACCTGTCGACACATGCTGTGCTCCATGGCTAACTCGGGCTGCCTCCTTGTCTCCAACTCAGGCATGCTTCCTCACTCTCTCCCCTGTCCTCCAGCCTTCCTCTACCTCCAACAGGTAAGCCACCCTCTCCAGGGGATTTTTTTGCTTTCCGGTTCGCACGTGTTTCTGGCTGGTTCCCTCTGGGCAGAGGGCAGGAGCTTGACAGCTTCCTCGCAGCCTCCCCGCTCCAGCCCCACGGCAGCCGGAGTTGTGCCGCCGGGGCGGCTCGGCTCCTCGGCTGCAGCTTTTGGGGTTTCTCCGCGTTCCCCGCCGTGGCTGCGGGAGCAGGGCCAGGGCAGAGGCGCGGGCAGTGCGGCAGGCAGAGGCGCCGGCGCGGCTCCAGCGCTTCCCCGCCTCGGCGCTGCTGCCGCTTGGCGATGATGGATGCTCGGGTGAAGGAACGAGGCTCCTGCGTGGCCTGAGCAGAAGGGAAGGTGATGAGCTCGTGCGTGCACACGTGTGTGCACGTATGTGTGCGTGTCCACAGCCGGGCGGGCGTGGGGCTGTCCCGCTGCCGCTGGAAGCTGCTGCAGAGGGACTGGGGGCACGTGGTGCCCGGCTTGGGCAGCCCAGATAGAAGCTGCTTAGGTCGTTCAGTTTGTTCCTTCACCTGGGCCAAGGTTTCGCTGTCCCACAGGGTTGCCCTGGTTCTGTGCTGGACACTGAGTGCGAGGTTCCTGGGCCCATCATCCCAGGGGAAGGGCAGCTTGGGAGAGGCAGCATCTTCCTCAAATGCCTCTGTGCTGCGTCGGAAATCCCATCTCCCAGCCAGGCAAACCACTCCATTTGTGCTTTCAGGAGTTTAAAAATTCATGGCATCCTCCCTGCACTTGGCGTACCCAGCGCGGTTCACCCAGCGGCGAGGACAGGCACGCAGGTGCCAACCCTCCGCCCCAGCGGGGAAGGCTGTGGAGTGTTTGCTCCCTTGGGGTGTCTGTGGTGGTGTCCGAGCAGGGTCATGGCCAGCGGTGGTGGGGATGGCGAGGCCCAGGTCTCTCTCCCGCGCTGGAGGCCAGAGCTGGCTGCACGAGCATGGGCACGGGGGCTGCGGCAGGGCTGCCGAGACGGGCGCGTGATTTATGGCACCCTCCCGTGGGCAGAGCCCGGGGACAGCCAGGGCTGCGCTGGGTTTCACCCTTCCCAAAGCTGCACTGAGGTCCCTGTGGCTGCCGCACGTCTGACACGGGGCAAAAACTGTCCCTGAACCCCCACCTGTCCAGAGGATGGTTTCTGTCCTGAGGAAGGAAGCACAAGGATGCTTTGGAGTGGCAGCCAGTGCAGGGCCCAGGGCCTGTCTTGCAGCATGGGAGATGTCGCTCTCCAGCTGGGATCCCCCTGTCCCTGGCCACACCAGGGGCTCAGCTGTGCTGCTCTCTTGCCCTGCAGAGCACTCTGGCATGGCTCAGCCTGGGTCTGGCAGCAGTGGCGGTGACAGCACGGCCCAACGGGTGCTCCCAGTGCCTGCAGGGCTGGGAAGGAGGAGCTGCAGGTCCCTGGGAAGCAGAAACTTTCCTGGGTGTGCAGCTCTGCACCTCGCAGCTCCCAGTTCCCCCATCACCCTGCCTGGTTTGGTTTGACCGTTGTGTTCTGCATCTCTTCCTCCCTGCTCTCCCAGAAGCCTCCTGCTCCTTGGCAGCAGCTCTGGAGTTACAAGCCAGGAGGAGGGTTTTGCTACAGAATTTGGAGTTGGATTTTCACTCGGCTGATGAGCATGATGGAGGTGAAAATCTCCATCCTCTTCCTGGAGTTTATCCTGTGCTGAGGTTCTGCACCCAGCACTTGGGGACAGTGTGACAACAAGATGTCACTGGAGGCCATCACGTGGGGCAGGGGCATGGGCCATGCATGGCTGATGGGCCCCTCAACGGGTGGGCACCTGCTTTAGCTCTGAATTTGCTCTGGGTTTTAGACTGTCCACCTGTGCCACCTGCACCCCAGGAGCACACAGGGAGCAATGCTGCTGCTGCCTGTGGGCACGTGCCCACCCCAGAGCTGGCTCTGGACAGCTGGCCTGGCTCACCTCTGTGTAGGAGGGACACCTGAGAGGGTTCAGCTGACTTTCCCTTGGTTGGCTGTGCCATGGGGTCTGGGGGGCCTGGTTGTGACCCCCTGGGTTACAGGTCCCTGTCCAAACCCTTTCTGGTTTGTAAGAAGGTTGTACCGTGATGGTGCCTGGGCCAGTGACCAGGACTGAGTCTGCTGGGCTGGCCAGTCGGTCAAGAGCTGGGGCATGCCAGGCTCTGCATGCAGTGACTGCCCTCGCCCCCTTAGACAGTGCTGTCCCTGCCAGGAGCCTGTGGCTGGACTGGTCCCTGAGGATGCTGCTGATGTTCCATAGCTCCCAGCCCCAGTGTTTTCAGCTGGGTTGGGGTTTGAAGGAATGACCAAGTAATGAAGCTCTCAACAAAACCTCAGTTCTTCCAGCACCAGGGAGGGCTCAGCAGTGCCAGTGGCTCTTCCAGGTGCTGTGGGTGCCTCTCAGCTCACTCTGCTCCGCTTTCCTCACCTGGCCACCCTGGCCCAGCCACAGGAGCCATGGTCCATGGTATTCTGGGTTGTGCAGCCACACCGTGCCCTGGAACTCCCCCTGGCACTGCCATGCTCCAAGAGCAGGACTTTTGGAGGGCTGGAGGGCAGCGGCCACAGGAGGGCGGGTGCATGTCTGCAGCCTGGGCCAGTGGGAACGCTGCACCCTTCGGTGGGGCTTGGCAGGGACATTTGGTTCTTGCTCAGTGAGGGTCTGGGGGTGGAAGGACTCTTGGGTGGCTTCGTTTGGTTAACAGAGGATTCAGTCAGTGCTTGAAACACACCTCAGCTGCTGTGAGTGAGCAAGTGATGGCTGCAGGGCAGGGCTCGGTGCTGACCCAGAGCACAGCCAGGCTCTGAGGCTCAGTACAGTGCTGTACCCTGCACGGCCCAGGTGCAGCCCCAGCCACGTGCAGGTGTGAGCCCAGCCCGGGCTGACGTACAGGTGTGCTGAGGCCCACTGCAGTGCTGCCCCTGGGATGCTCCTGGCCGGGAACATCCCTGCTGCTCACAGTCACACCACGGCACAGGAGACTCAGCTGAGCGACGCCTGGCGCGCCGGGAAACAGCCTCTGCAAATCCTGCTCGGAAAATTCCTTTCCGAAAGGGCTGCTGCCAAGTTTAGCATGTTATATTTTTAGGGAGCGGGTCTATTCCGAGCGGTGGTGCCGCGTGTTGCAGCAGTGGGTTTGTTTCAAACCGGGTTTCTCCCCCTGCCCGGGCATCGCGCGGCTGCGAGACCTGGCACGGCAGCTCCCGCCTCTGGCCGTGCTGTGGCAGCTGTCCTGCTCACTGAGGACAGGCCTTAGAGCCCCAAAAAAGTGTTTTCTGGTTCGGGTTCTTTTATACTGAAAACATTGATATTAATTTTAGCTTTGCAAAGCTGCTTTTCCCACAATAGCTGTGATTTTGGCCCACACTGCCTGGCAAAGCTCTTTTTATAGGTATATTCCTATTTTTATGCTGTAGGGATGGGTGAATGAGTAGATTAAATTAGATTTAGTATCTGTCATTCTTTAAAGCATCACATGCAGTTGGAGTGGGGGGTGTAACAAAGAAAGGCTAATTAGAAGAGCCGGTGCAGGCCACCCCCACCAGTTCCACCAGCTGCACCACCCCTGGCTCTGGGGCTGCCCCCGCTCAGGGGCCACCATCCAAAAGGAAGATGCTTTTGAAACATGGTTTTCTGTGCAGCTCCCCAGCCAGGCCAGCTCCACGGGCTGCAGCCAGGGATGGGCAGAGTGCTGGGAGCTGCAGCTGGGCACCCGGGCACCTCCAGGAGCTTCAGGGTCATTTGGCTGCCTGGCTGCTGTCCCCACAGGGGTGGGGGCTCCTGTGTGGGGTCACTGTGTCACTATCCTGTGGGATAGTGAGTGGGCTTCCATGGAGGAGCCAGGGCACCAAGGGACACTGTAGCCCCTCCAGGAAGGGCGTTAGTCACTTCAGTGCTGCTGGTTTTTGTAGGCAGGTGTGGGGCTGGGTGCTGGGAGGGTGTGGGGAGCTGTGCCAGTGTTGAGAAGGCTGGGAAGGGTGCCTGGGCACAGGAGAACTAAATGTCCAGGGAAGAAGGTGGATCTTCCAGTGCTGGTGTGAGCCTAGCAGTGTGTGGTCAGGGGCTGTGCAGTGCTGGCCATGCCATGGCCACTGACCCAGTGACGTGCCAGTGCCATTGAGCAGGCTGGGAGCTCTGGGCTGGAGCTGTGGGATGGAGCTGTGGGCTGGAGCTGTGGGCTGGGAGCTCTGGGCTGGAGCTGTGGGCTGGAGCTGTGGGCTGGAGCTCTGGGCTGGAGCTGTGGGCTGGAGCTGCTGCAGGGTTCACCCCTCCACTGCCCATGGGCAGCCCCAGCAGGGCTTTAAGCTGCACCACATCCCTTGGTGTTCCAGGGGCCAGGAGGGAGCAGCCCCCTGACTCCTGGAGCGTCCCAGCAGGTGAAGAGTTTGTGGTGGCCCCCACAGTGCTGTGGGCATCGCCTGCCAGGGGCTGGGTGCTGTTCCCACATTCCATACAAGCCCTGCTGTGCCCAGCCAGGATCCACACACGGGTTCTCACCACAGCCTTCAAATAGCTCCTGTGGAAAATCAAAACTGGGGAGAAAAGAGTGGGAGCAGGCGACAGTGGCAGCTTATTTGTGATCTGCATTGTGTGGGGAGCCCTTAATTAGAGGTAATTAGACTAATTAACTTGCAAATGAGAAACTCGTCTTTTTCTCCTTTTCTCTTACAAGAAAAAATAGAAAAGATGAACAACAAGATAAATATTGAAGGTAATTACGTTGTACCTGCTGCAGACCCCTCCAGCCCATGGGATGCCTCTCTGCCCACCAGCCTGGCACTGGGTGCCATCCCTGTCTGGGTGTCCTGCAGTGGCTGTCCCCACTCAGGGCTGGTCACACTGCCAGGCATGTCCCTGTGGTCCCTCCTGGTAGAAGGGGACCACTGGGCACCCCCTGCACACCCAGGAGGGACGTGGTGTGTGTCCAGGAGCCGCTGGGGACAGTGGCCTCCATGGTTTTGGCCACTGCCAAGGCCCAGTGGCCAGGCCCTGGCAG